GGAAATCAGGCAGTGAGAGAGACATTGCAGACCTGGATCTAGAGGTCTACAAGTTGATTTCTTTTTTTTTTTTTTTTTTGAGAGAAGGAAAGAAAAAAGGAGTGAAGGAGAGGAAGAAAAAGAGGGAGAGAGGAGAGGAAGAAAAAGAGGGAGAGAGGAGAGAACGGAAATGTTGCTTTAAGGCAGAGGTTGCGGTGAGCCGAGATGGCGCCATTGCACTCCAGCCTGGGTAACAAGAGCAAAACTCCATCTCAAAAAAAAAAAAGAAAAATTTATTTATAATGGTCAATCAATATTTCATTTAAACCTATGAGTTGGTGTGATGTGGTATTGACAAGAACGTATATTTTGTGTATTTAAAGTGGAGAGCTCTATAAATATTAAGTTTACTTGTCTGGATCTGAGTTCAAGTGCTGGATATCCTTATTAATTTTCTGTCTCATTGAGTCTAAGTCTCTATGTATATGGGCGTTAGGATTGTTAGCTCTTATTGTTGCATTGATTTTTTTTACCTCTGTATCTTTGTTGTTTTAAAATCTATTTTATCAGATGCGAGAATTGCAACTCCTGCTTTTTATTTATTTATTTATTTATTTATTTTTGCTCTCCATTTGGTTGGTAAATCTTTCTCCATCCCTTTGTTTTGAGTCTTTGTGTATCCTTGCATGTGAAATGGGTCTGGATGTAGCATACCGTTGGGTTTTGGCTGTATCTTTTGATTGGGGGATTTAGTCGATTTAAACTTAGGATTATTGCCATTTGTTGTTAACTGGCTGTTTTATCCATTCGTTCATGTAAATTCTTCTTTATGCTGATGCTCTTTACTTTTTGGTATATTTTTAGAAAGGCTAATACTGGTTGTTTCTCTCTATGTGTAATGCTTCTTTCAGAAGCTCTTGTAAAGCAGGCCTGGTGGTAATAAAATCTCTGAGTAGTTGCTTGTTCATAAAAGATTTTATTTTTCCTTCAGTTGTGAAGCTTAGTTTGGCTGGATATGAAATTCTGGGCTGAAAGTTCTGTTCTTTAAGGATGTTGAATATTGGCCCCCACTCTCTTCTGGCTTGGAGAGTTTCTGCTGAGAGATCTGCTGTAAGTCTGATAGGCTTGCCTTTGTGGGTAACCTGACCTTTCTCTCTGGCTGCCCTTAGTATTTTCTCCTTCATTTCAACTGTGCTGAATCTAAGGAATAGTGCCTTGGGGTTGCTCTTCTTGAGGAATATCTTTGTGGCGTTCTCTGTATTACCTGGGGTTGAATATTGACCTCCTTTGCTAGGTTAGGAAAATTTTCTTGAATAATATCCTGAAGAATATTTTCCAGCTTGGATTCATTCTCTCCGTTGCATTCAGGTTCACCTGTCAAACGTAAATTTGGTCTTTTCACATAGTCCCACATTTCTTGGAGACTTTGCTCATTCCTTTTTATCCTTTTTTCTCTAATCTTGTCCTCTCGTTTTATTTCATTTAGTTGGACTTTGACATCTGATATTTTTTCTTCTGCTTGAACAATTCGAGTGTTTAAACCTGTGCATACTTCTCGGAGTTCCCGTATTCTTCACTTTCATTAATTCACTTATATTCCTCTCTAAGTTGTCTATTCTCATTAGGATTTCGTCAAACCTTTTTTCAAAGTTTTTAGTTTCTTTACATTGGGCTACAACATGTTCTTTTAACTCACAGAAGTTTCTTATTATCCATCTTCTGAAGCCTGATTCTGTTAATGGGATGTGCTTGTTCATCAAGCCTTGTTCCCTTGTTGATGAGGAACTGAGATCCTCTTTAGAGGGAGAGGCATTTTGATTTTGAGTATTCTCAGCCTTTTTATGCTGGTTACTTCACATCATCGTAAATTTATCCACCTGTTGTCTTTGTAATTACCAACTTTCAAATTAGGTCTCTGAGTGGAAGTCCAGGTTGTCAATTCCCAGGGCCGAAATATGAGCAACCCATTGCGCCGGCCAAAACAGCAGCATTAAGACTGATGGTGCTTTTCTGCCTAGGAATCTCCAGTCTGGTTTCCTTCTTGAGTCCGTAATAGGCGACTCTGCCTTCCCGGAGCTCCAAATTTCAGTCAGAAAAGGAACCAGTCCCGTTTACTCTGCACAAGAGCTGCCACGCCGAGGTGCCGGCCACAAGAGTTGTGCTGGCGATCGTGCAGCTCCTCCACTGGGAATCTTCTGCTCCGTGAACGACAAAAATTTGTCTGAAACTGTGGCGTCCTCTCATTCTCTGCGCTTTTCCTGGGAGCTGCAATCCTGAGATGTTAGCGATCAGCCAGCCATCTTGGATCCTTTTCCCGCCAACATTGCCTTTTCTAAGTAATACTCACTATAGTTGAGTTGTGAATGTATTTATCTGCTCTGCACTAATAGAAACCATCTTTGCCATACTGTTTTTGATTTTTAAGAAAAAATTATTATTGCCACTAACAATTTAAACTTACATCATTCTTCAAACGCCAGAGTTGATGGATGTTTATTGTGAATTGTATGGATGAAGATTTGAATTTGGACTTTGCCAGTTACTAGATTGTGGCCTTTGATGAATCATTGAACTTTTCTAAACTTCATTTGGCTTTACCATTAAATGTCAATAAAATTATAGCACTCTCTCATGGAGTTAATTAAGGCTATGAAGCAATGTTTTCACTAATCATTTGTTCACTTGTCTGCTTTTCCATTGAATTACCAATTTCTTGAGTCCATTACTTCTACTTTTTCTTTTGAGATAATCTTGCTCTTTTGCCCAGGCTGGAGTGCAGTGGTTCAATCTTGACTCATTGCAACCTCTGCCTCCTGGTTTCAAATTATTCTTGTGCCTCAGCCTCCCAAGAAGTTGGGATTACAGGCATGTGCCACTATGCCCAGCTAATTTTTGTATTTTCAGTAGAAAAGAGGTCTTGCCATGTTGGTCAGGCTGGCCTTAAGCAATCCAAACACATCTGCTTCCCAAAGCACTGGGATTACAGGTGTAAGTCATTATGCTTGGCCTTGGATTCATTCCTTTTAAGCTTTGCATCCCAGAGTCTGATTTTTAGTTGTGAATTGTTGTTTAATTGAATTAAATATCCAGCCAAAAGGATAATGAAATACATTCAATGGAGGAATGACAAACAACAACAAAAAAAACTAAAATGGAAAAGGGGAAATAAAAAAGCTTGTTGGGGTCCTGCTCCTCTGTGGTTGGTCTCCTGCTGTGTCATATAGGCCAGCTGGGCCCAGAACAGAGAGAACATTACTCAGTGTTTCTCTAATGGACTGAAGATTGAAAAATCCAACTTTTGTGATAAATTAAATTGTACTGCTTGGTGTGTGTTAATTAGTCTGTGCCAGACTTTCAGGTAGTAGTTGATGCCCACAGTGGTGTGTAATGCAAGGTTACATTATATGGGAATCATATTTTTAGTATTCACTACAATCCAGAGGGTGTTTTTAAATATTTTTTTTTACTTTTATTAATTTTGGAGTCCCAAGCATAACATCACACTTGATTCCCTTACTGTGTAACACTTAAAAATTTGGTGTAGATTCCCTGAGTATACTGTTGGAAATCACATGTTCACTTTATTGGTAAGTAAGTATTCTTTTTTTTTTTTTATTTAATAAATAAACATGAAATAGGCTGCCTTAAGTCATTCATTTAAGAAGATACTTAAGAATATATCTTACTAGACTGGGTGCAATGGCTCATACCTGTAGTCCTAACACTTTGGGAGGCAGAGGCAGGTGGATCACCTTAGGTCAGGAGACCAGCCTGACCAACATGGAGAAATCCCATATCTGCTAAAAATTTAAAATTAACCAGGTGTAGTGGCGCATGCCTGTGATCCTAGCTACTCAGGAGACTGAGGCAGGAGAATCAGTTGAACCTGAGAGGCAGAAGTTGTGGTGAGCCAAGATGGTGCCATTGCACCCCATCCTGGGCAACAAGAGAGAAACTCTGTCTCAAAAAAAAAAAGTATCTGTCTTACTGTATTTGCCAGCAGTAGACCCAGACTCATTACTTCCACATATATAAGCTTGTGTGTGCGTGTGTGTGTGCGCGTGCGCATGTTATGTTTAAATAGATTAATATCAGCATTTACAACTGTCCATTTTTATTTGTTTTTTGTTGATTGATTGATTGAGACAGTTTCATTCTGTCATCCTGACTGGAATATAGTGGTGCAGTCTTGGCTCACTGCAGCCTCTGCCTCCTAGATTCAATGTCTGCCTCGGCCTTCTGAGTAGCTGCAACTTCAGGCGCATACCACCATGCCCAACTCATTTTTTTTGTATTTTTAGTAGAGACAGGTTTCATTATGTTGGCCAAGCTGGTTTCAAACTCCAGACTTCAGGTGATCTGCCTGCCTCAGCCCCGCAAAGTGCTGGGATTACAGGCATGAGCTACCACATCCAGCCAGAATTTACCTTTCTGACAACCATATTTTGATTTTTTAAAACTTAATGATTCTGATAGAAACAGATAGAACAATTTTATTCAGAAGTACTGAATGTTAGGTAATGCTAATAAAATATATTAGGACTAGTATGTACTGAACTTACAAGTAGGACATTATTTCTAAGATCTTCAAGAAGTAAACTGGGTGCAATGGCTATGTAATCGCAGCATTTCGTGAGCCTGAGGTTGGAGGATTGCTTGAACCCAAGAGTTGAAGGGAAAAAGAGCCAGGGAAAAATAGACCTTTCCTATAAAAAAAAAAAAAAAAAAAAGCTGGGCATGGTGGCACACACCTGTCATCCCAGCTACTCAGTGAGGCTGAGGCAGGAGGATTGCTTGAACTCTGGAGGTCAAAAGTGCAGTGAACTGTAATTGCACCTCTATACTCTAGCGTGAGTGATAGAACGAGAAATGACCCCATTTCAAAAAATAAAACAGCATACTTATAATATTGTATGCTTTTACTTTATGATAAACAAAGATGGCATATGTCCTTTCGTAAGTTTTGTTAAGTTTTAAAGTGTCTGCTGTTATTGTTCATGATACATTTTCTGTCTTTTCAGTGGACGATGCTGGCAAAATAGAACATGATGGTTCCTCTGGAGTGACCATTGATGCGGAATCAGAAATGGATCCTTGTAAAGTGGATGGCACTTGCCCTGAAGTCATCAAGGTATACATTTTTAAAGCTGACCCTGGAGAAGATGACTTAGGTAAGAGGAAACCATCAGCATTTTATACATCCTCATTCAAATGTTTCAACAAAATGGTGTCAGAAAAGTAAACAGGTTACTCTTTTTTATTGATTTTTAAGATTTAGTTTAGATTATCTAGATTGGAAAATTTGAAATATTTTCCGAAGACAACTTTTAAGACATATTTCTTATTTAGTAATATAAAAATATTGTAGAACATGTGTAAGTGAAATATGTGAAAATGAACTCTCAAATAATTTTTGGAGCTTTCGTCTTCTCTGATAGGTGGAACTGTAGACATTGTGGAGAATGAGTCTGAGAATGATCATGGAGTTGAACTACTTGAACAGAGCAGCAGTGTTCGTGTTCCCAGGGAAAAGATGGTTTATATGACTGTCAACGACTCTCAACAAGAAGATGAAGATTTAAGTATGTGGCTATTTTTAAAATTTTACTTTAAGTTCTAGGATACATGTGCTTAATGTACAGATTTGGTTTTTTTGAATTTATTTTTATTTATTTTTTATTGCATTTTAGGTTTTGGAGTACATGTGAAGAACATGCAAGATAGTTGCATAGGTACATGTGGCAGTGTGATTTGCTTCCTTCCTCCCCTTCACCCACATCTGGCATTTCTCCCCATGCTATCCCTCCCCAACTCCCCCCACTGCTGTCACTCCCCTATTCCCCCCAATATACCCCAGTTTGTGGTGCTCCCCTCTGTGTCCATGTGTTCTCATTGTTCAACACCCGCCTATGAGTGAGAACATGCGGTATTTCATTTTCTGTTCTTGTGTCAGGTTGCTGAGAATGATGGTCTCCAGGTTCATCCATGTCCCATAAAGGACACGAACTCATCGTTTTTGATTGCTGCATAATATTCCATGGTGTTTATGTGCCACATTTTCCCTGTCCAGTCTATCATCAATGGGCATTTGGGTTGGTTCCAGGTCTTTGCTATTGTAAGCTGTGCTGCAGTGAACATTCATGTGCATGTGTTCTTATAGTAGAATAATTTATAGTCCTTTGGATATATACCCAGTAATGGGATAGCTGGATCAAATGGAATTTCTATTTCTAGGTCCTTGAGGAATCGCCACACTGTCTTCCACAATGGTTGAACTAATTTACACTCCCATCAGCAGTGTAAAAGTGTTCCTATTTCACCACATCCTCTCCAGCATCTGTTGTCTCCAGATTTTTTAATGATTGCCATTCTAATTGGCTTGAGATGTATCTCAGTGTAGTTTTGACTTGCATTTCTCTAATGACCAGTGATGATGTGCATTTTTTCATATGTTTGTTGGCCTCATGTATGTCTTCTTTTGTAAAGTGTCTGTACATATCTTTTGCCCATTTTTGAATGGGCTTGTTTGTCTTTTTCTTGTAAATCTGTTTGAGTTCTTTGTAAATTCTGGATATCAGTCCTTTGTAAGATGGGTAAACTGCAAAGATTTTTTCTTATTCTGTTGGTTGCCGATTCACTCTAGTGACTGTTTCTTTTGCCGTGCAGAAGCTGTGGAGTTTGATTAGGTCCCATTTGTCTATTTTGGCTGTTGTTGCCAATGCTTTTGGTGTTTTGGTCATGAAGTCCTTGCCTACTCCTATGCCCTGAATGGTTTTGCCTACATATTCTTCTAGGGTTTTTATGGTGTTAGGTCTTATGTTTAAGTCTTTAATCCATCTGGAGTTAATTTTAGTGTAAGGTGTCAGGAAGGGGTCCAGTTTCTGCTTTCTGCACATGGCTAGCCAGTTTTCCCAGCACCATTTACTAAACAGGGAATCCTTTCCCCATTGCTTGTTTTTGTCAGGTTTATCAAAGATTGTATGGTTGTAGATATGTTGTGTTGCCTCTGAATCCTCTGTTATGTTCCATTGGTCTATAGCTCTGTTTTGGTACCAGTACCATGCTGTTTTGATTACTGTAGCCTTGTAGTATAGTTTGAAGTCCGGTAGTGCGATGCCTCCTGCTGTGTTCTTTTTGCTTAGAATTGACTTGGGTATGCGGGCTCTCTTTTGGTTCCATATAAAGTTTAAGGTGGTTTTTTCCGGGTCTGTGAAAAATGTCATTGGTAGCTTGATGGGGATAACGTTGAATCTGTAAATTACTTTGGGCAGTATGGCCATTTTCATGATATTGATTGTTCCTAACCATGAACATGGAATGTTTCTCCATCTGTTTGTGTTCTCTCTTATTTAGTTGAGCAGTGGTTTGTAGTTCTCCTTGAAGTTGTATTCCTTGTTAGTTGTATTCCGAGGTATTTTATCCTCTTTGTAGCAATTGTGAATGGCAGTTTATTCTTGATTTGGTTCTAAGTCTGTTATTGGTTTATAGGAATGCTTGTGATTTTTTGCACATTGATTTTGTAACCTGAGACTTCGCTGAAGTGCTTACCAGTTTCAGGAGATTTTGGGCTGAGACGATACTATCATGTTGTCTGCAAATAGAGACAATTTGGCTTCCTCCTTTCCTATTTGAATACCCTTTATTTCTTTGTCTTGCCTGATTGTTCTGGCTAATGTACAGATATGTTACATAGATATACATATGCTATGGTGGTTTGCTGCACCTGTGAACCAATCATTCAGGTTTTTGGTTTTTTTGTGGGTTTTTGTTTTGTTTTGTTTTTTCTTTTGATATGAAGTCTTGCTGTGTCGCCCAGGCTGGAGTGCAGTGGCACAATCTCGACTCACTACAACCTCCACCTCCCAGGTTCAAGTGATTCTCCTGCCTCAACCTCCTGAGTTTTAGCTGGGACTACAGGCATGTGCCACCATGGCTGGCAATGTTTTGTATTTTTAGTAGAGTTGGGCTTTCACCCTGGTAGTACAGTCTCCATCTCCTGAGTTTGTGATCTGCCCACCTCTGCCTCCCAAAGTGTTGGGATTTATAGGCATGAGCCATTGCGCTTGGCCCATCATCTAGGATTTAAGCCCCACGTCCATTAGGTATTTGTCCTAACGTTCTCCCTTGTTTCTCTCCCCACCCCCAACAGGTCCCAGTGTGTGATGTTCCCCTCCCTGTGTTCATGTGTTCTCATTGTTTGACACCCACCTATGAGTGAGAATCTGCAGTTTGGTTTTCTCGTTCTCTGTTAGTTTGCTGAAGATGATGGTTTCCAGCTTCATACTTGTCTCTGCAAAGGACATGAACCCATTCTGTTTTATGGCTTCATAGTATTCCATGGTATATATGTGCCAGCATATGGCTTTTTTGTGGGGAGATGGTTTAATGTTTCTACAAGTTGGGTTTTGTTGTTGTTGTTTGTTTTTTTAGATGGAGTCTCACTCTGTTGCCAGGCTGGATGGCAATGGCACAATGTCAGCTTCCTGCAACCTCTGCTTCCAGTTTAAGTGATTATACTGCCTCAGCCTCCTGAGTAGCTAGGATTACAAGCGTGCAGCACCATGTGCAGATAATTTTTGTATTTTTAGTAGGGATGGCATTTCACTATGTTGGCCAGGCTGGTCTCGAACTCCTGACCTCAGGTGATCCACCAGCCTTGGCCTCCCTAAGAGCTGGGATTATAGACATGAGCCACCATGTCCTGACCAAGTTGTTGTTGTTGTTTAATGCAACCAGTATTTGAAAAAAGTAAGCAGCAGCACTGTTATGGACGATACTGTGTTGCCATATTCCAAGGAAAGATATGTATGTTTTGATTGTTGCTTTATAAACAAATTGTAGTGAAAGCCAAGAAACAGATGACTATCTCAACCAGTATCTATTTTTTCCTACTAATGCATTTTTTTCTGTGTGATCTCTGTAAACCCAGTCACAAATATTTTAAATTTATTTTCTGCTTAGACGTTGCTGAAATTGCTGATGAAGTTTATATGGAAGTGATTGTAGGAGAAGAGGATGCTCCTGCTACTGTAGCAGCAGCTGCTATGCATGAACAGCAAATTGATGAGGACGAAATGAAAACCTTTGTGCCAATTGCATGGGCAGCAGCTTATGGTAAGTTACATAGTAGCTAGAAGGATTGAATGTTTTTGAACATTAATTAACTGTTGAAAATGGTTTCTGTGTCTTAGAGTTTCAGGATTTGAGCAAATGTAGAGAAAGATTACATAGTCTCCCTGTTGCCTTTAATTTTAATATGAACTTTTTTCGTGACTTTATTATGTAAGAAGCCAGGAGCTTTTTTTTTTTTTTTTTTTTTTTTTTTGAGAAGGAGTTTCGCTCTTGTTACCCAGGCTGGAGTGCAATGGTGCGATCTCGGCTCACGGCAACCTCAGCCTCCTGGGTTCAGGCAATTCTCCTGCCTCAGCCTCCCGAGTAGCTGGGATTACAGGCATGTGCCACCGTGCCCAGCTAATTTTTTGTATTTTTAGTAGAGACGGGGTTTCACCATGTTGACCAGGATGGTCTCCATCTCTTGACCTCGTGATCCACCCGCCTCAGCCTCCCAAAGTGCTGGGATTACAGGCTTGAGAAGTCAGGAGCTTTCAATCTCACATTTTAAATCTTGGTTTATATGTGACTCATAACTTTACAATTTTGGGAGATAAGAAGGGAGTCCCATAGAGCAACATCCTGCTTGATACAGAAGCTAGGTACTAACCATGGTCTTGCCATAAATATTTCCATAAAACCCATTATCTAAAATTGCAGGCCGAGTGTATTGGCTCAGGCCTGTAAACCCAGCACTTTGGCAGTCTGAGGCAGGTGCATCACCCGAGGTCAGGAGTTTAAGATCAGCCTGGCCAACATGGCAAAACCCCCTCACTACTAAAAACAAAACAAAAAAAAAATGAGCTGGGCATGGTGCTGTGGTCCTGTAATCTCAGCTGTTCAGGATGCCGAGGCAGGAGATTGCTTGAAACCAAGATGGGGACGTTGCAGTAAGCCAAGTGTGTACCACTGTACTCCAGCCTGGGTAAGAGAGCAAGACTCTTATCTCAAAAAAATAAATGAATAAAAATAAAAAATAAAATAAAATAGGGAATTTCTGTCATTCATGTCAGGATTTCTCATTGTTAATAAATAATTCCAAATCTTTAGAATTTATAATGCTGTGTAATTTTGTGTTTTAATGCACATTGTTAGGTAATAATTCTGATGGAATTGAAAACCGGAATGGCAGTGCAAGTGCTGTCTTGCATGTAGATGAGTCTGTTGGCCTCAGCAGACTGACTAAACAAAAACCAAAGAAAAAGAGAAGATCTGATGCCAGGCAGTACCAAACAGGTGAGGGTTCATGAGTTCCATGGTGCAGTGTGCTCTGAGAGCCGTCAGAAGAAACTATAGTATTATGTATCCACAGGGGTGTTTTAATGACCGAACTTTAAGCTGCTAGGCCACATGTATTTTTGTGTATTTTATTTGAAAAAAGAATTTCAGAATTCTTCAATATTCAAGAATGATTTCCTTGGATAAAAAGAAACTGGTGTGCATCAAACATTCAGGAAAAAGAATTAAAATCCTCTGGTGATTTTAGTGGAAAGGAAAATACATTTTTAAAATGTTAGCTAATTTTAAGTGAACAAAATTACATGGATCAACTGATGGCAGCATCAAACAGGCATAATTTACAGTGCAGCAGGATAAGTTACTTAGGTTATTTATAGGACAGATTATTTTTCTGTGTTGTTTTGCGTCTTTGCATATTAAAATTTATTTATAGGCATAGTTAAGCCTATAACTATTAGTTAGCATAAATTTGGCTTGGAGTCACCAAAGCAGAAATGTTGGACTTCATTTTTATGAGTTATTTCCTACACATTTCTAAACTGATGTAGCTTTGTCACTGCTTGATTGATGTTTTTTAAACTGGAAGGGGTAAAATTAGTTTATACTGAATCATACCAGTTTCTCTTAATTAGTACATTACTAACATTGAAAAGAAGTAAAAGGAATGTTAATAACTTAGGAGTATTTGCATAGTTACGTTCAGAACACAAGCTTTAAATTAGTGAGGCAACTAGAAGTTTGATTTAAGCACTCATACTCCTTTATTTTCCTTTGTTAGCAATAATTATTGGCCCTGATGGCCATCCTTTGACTGTTTATCCTTGTATGATTTGTGGGAAGAAGTTTAAGTCGAGGGGTTTTTTGAAAAGACACATGAAAAACCATCCCGAACATCTTGCCAAGAAGAAGTACCACTGTACTGACTGTGATTACACTACCAACAAGAAGATAAGTTTACACAACCACCTGGAAAGCCACAAACTGACCAGCAAGGCAGAGAAGACCATTGAATGTGTTGAGTGTGGGAAGCATTTTTCTCATGCAGGGGCTTTGTTTACTCACAAAATGGTGCACAAAGAAAAGGGAGCCAACAAAATGCACAAGTGTAAATTCTGTGAATATGAGACAGCTGAACAAGGGTTATTGAATCGCCACCTCTTGGCAGTCCACAGCAAGAACTTTCCTCATATTTGTGTGGAGTGTGGTAAAGGTTTCCGTCACCCATCAGAACTCAAAAAGCACATGCGAATCCATACCGGGGAGAAGCCATACCAATGCCAATACTGCGAATATAGGTCTGCAGACTCTTCTAACTTGAAAACACATATAAAAACAAAGCATAGTAAAGAGATGCCATTCAAGTGTGACATTTGTCTTCTGACTTTCTCAGATACCAAAGAAGTGCAGCAACATACCCTTGTCCACCAAGAAAGCAGAACACACCAGTGTTTGCATTGTGACCACAAGAGTTCAAACTCAAGTGATTTGAAACGACATGTAATTTCAGTTCATACAAAAGACTATCCTCATAAGTGTGAGATGTGTGATAAAGGCTTTCACAGGCCTTCAGAACTGAAGAAACATGTGGCTGTCCACAAAGGTAAAAAAATGCACCAATGTAGACATTGTGACTTTAAGATTGCAGACCCATTTGTTTTAAGTCGCCATATTCTCTCAGTTCACACAAAGGATCTTCCATTTAGATGTAAGAGATGTAGAAAGGGATTTAATCAACAGAATGAGCTTAAAAAGCATATGAAGACACACAGTGGCAGGAAAGTGTATCAGTGTGAGTACTGTGAGTATAACACTACAGATGCCTCAGGCTTTAAACGGCATGTTATTTCTATTCATACAAAAGACTATCCTCATCGGTGTGAGTACTGCAAGAAGGGCTTCCGAAGACCTTCAGAAAAGAACCAGCACATAATGCGACATCATAAAGAAGTTGGCCTACCCTAACAATATGTCTAAAAACTTGCAAAGCTGTTGGCTTTGAAGCAGAAAATTCATTTTTTAAAGCAAGTCTTGTTCACATCCATTACTATACATTGATTTATGCTGTGTAAAAATAGAGTTATTGCTTCTAGTCCACTTTTCTTTAAATTTTATTCAATAGGGTGTCCAGAATACTATTCAGTTTCTTTAATAGATGAGGAAAAGTAGCAACAATCAAGTTGCTTTTAATGACATAATTTGAGATTCTATACTCAATTTTCAGTCTTAGCAGCTTTACTGTTTATTTACATATTTATTGATGTTGATGGTACTTTCTAAGACAAAATCAGATTGGAAACTATAAAAGTGACATTTTGACCCATTTCTTCCCACACACTTGTCACATTGGAGACATCTGCTAGCATAAATGGGAGATTTTACTGTCAAGTCTAATTATCAAAACATGGAAATAAATTGCTTAATATTTTTAGATTACATGACCATGAAATTTTACATTTCACCTTCTAGCATTGATTAATATAGGATATGGACAATGTTTATATTTAAATCTCATTTTGTTTGGCAGGCAAAATGTACTTTTCTTGGCTTTCTTATTAATATTGTTTACATCTTTTGTCAGCACAGCAAACTTTTAGAAAGTATTATTGAAAAGTTTTACTTATTTTTGTCCTTTATTTTCTATTTGTACTGTTTTGTCTTGCATTGTGTTCTAACACATGAAACTGCAGACTGAATTTTGGAGTCTTTTAGAGGTAAATTGTGGACTCAGGATTTTTTAAAACTTGGTGTGTAACTCTAACTCTTGTATGTGCAGCTTTGTTGTGTATCACATATTTACACACACAACCACAAACTTTAAACCTTAGGATGAAAATTTATAATATCCCGAAATATCAAGGGATGTATGAGACTATTCTGTAACTTGCTTTTCAGAGTTATTAAAGTTCAGATGGAGAATTAAAAGGAAAAGAAGTACATTAGAAAGGTGAAAATCTTCTCTTCGAATAATCTTTGATAAATAAAAATGGAATTAAATGTATCTAGAAAGATTGTTTTCATAAGACTTCAGCTTCATATTATAAATTTTTCCAGAAAGCTATTTCAGACATAGGTTTCTCAGTTTTTTCTAAGAATCCTGTGAAGGAACTCTGTCTTTGCAAAGTAAGGAGGACTAAGGGAAAGCGATGGTACCATGTAACAGAATGAGAGCTAATTCCAAACTAGCAAGTATGTCCTGCTTTTTAAATTTTACATCCAGTAAAGTTTAAAAAAGACAACAGTCAAATTAGTTTTGATTAGAAGAAAAAAGTACATGATGAAAATCCACAGCCTTATTTTTGGAATATATATCACTTTTCAAATTTTATTGTTTATTCGAGCATTGACATATTTTAAGCAGTTAATAACTTGTATGTATGGATATAACACAAAATGAATTCATATAATTGAAAAGAATTTGATTACTAGGAGTTTTGGAGAACGGAAAATACATTTTTAGTTACCGTAAGTTGGCCGTTAGTACATATGTATTTGGAATATTTTAGGGGATTAGAATTTTTTTAACCCACATTACAGCTACTTTCTGGCCTTAGTATGGTGGTGCTTCATTCAGCTTTTGCTGTCACGTTTTTCTTTTCACCTTTTAGTGTACCACCAATTCAAAAAATATTTATAGGATTAGGAAATATAAATATTTGGTGATTGACAGCGTCTGAAATGTTAATTTGATCTAGTTCTAAAGTGCTTTAGTTATATTTAAATTTAAGCCTGGTACCAACCAAAACCGTGTCATGTATTTTGAAAACCTGTTTGGCCTTGTTAGCCCTCATACATGTCTCTACCTGATTTTTACTACCCTTCATTATCCTGTTCTTGAAAACTTCAGTTTCTGTTTGAAAATCCCTAAGTGTCTTCCAATTTGTTTTCTCCCTGAAGTAATATAAAAAGAAGTATTTAAGTGGAAGTTAAAGAGTTTTCAAACATTCTTTAAGACAAATAGTTAGCTATTTATATTTTTAAAATAAACAAAAAGCTAAAAAACACTTTACATACTTCATATTTTTCACATAGTCTGGAGTCATACACAGTTATTTTGTTTTTAACCAAAGTATTGAAACCTTTTAAAGGTAATTAAGCATTTGGTCAAGTAAATATGATAGAACATTTGTATAAAGAAAGAAATGAAATTGTGCTTAATGTTATTTAGTGTTATTAGTTGCACGCTGGCTTTAATTCTTAATTTGATTAGCAAAGCTAAAAAGTGGATGTTGAAGTTGAAAGTTTTAAAGAGGTACAAAATCTTACAAGGACATAAATTATTGTTTGGTTGAAAAATAGCCTATTAAATATTGTATGTAACTTCCTCTGTACACACTGTAAAATACTATGAAGAATTCATATAGGAAGTATGATACTATTGTAAATGTGTACTTGAGAATAATATGCAAAAATAAAAATGAGAATATTTTGCTGTTAATAAACGTTTAGTTGTATATAATACCAATACTCTTTTTATTTTAAAACATGCAGTTTTAATATACATAAAATGTAGTGAACTATTTTTCTTTCATCAGTTAGTTCATTCTATACATCAGTGGAATGCAAAATGCTTTTTACATAAATATTGGTAATCTTATGAATTTATAAGTAGTATTTCAGAGTAGTTGTGCCAAGTGATGAGTCCTTTATCAGTGTGTTCTTAAAACTGAACTTTTCATTTTTTTCTTCATGAAAGGTGGTTTTATTAGCATGACACTTGCTGAGATAAATTTTCCTTCCATAAAGTTTTGGTATTTTTTTTTTTTTTTTTTTTTTTTGAGACGGAGGCTTGCTCTGTAGCCGGGCTGGAATGCAGTGGCACAATCATGGCCCACTGCAACCTCCACCTCCTGGGTTCAAGTGATTCTTCTGCCTCAGCCTCCCCAGTAGCTGGGACCACAGGCATTTGCCACCACACTCAGCTAATTTTTGGATTTTTAGTAGAGACGGGGTTTCACCATGTTGGCCAGTATGGTCTCAATCTCTTGACATCATGATCTGCCCATCTCCGCCTTCCAAAGTGCTGGGATTACAGGCATGAGCTGCCACACCCAGCCTGTTTTTGTTTTAACAATACAGTCTCACTCTGTTGCTCAGGCTGGAGTGCACCAGTTTGATCTCCCGCTCACTGCAGCCTTCAGTTCTTAGGCTCAAGCAATCCTCTGCAGTTGCTGGGATTACTGCAGAGGCATGTACCATCATGCCTGGCTAATTATTAATTTTTTTATTCTTTAGATTCTGGGGTACATGTGCAGATCATGCAAGATTGTTGCATAGGTACATTCATGGCAAGGTGATTTGCTGCCTCCATCTTCCCATCACCTCTATCTGACATTTCTCCCCACATCCTCCCTCCCACAATCCCTCCCCTAGCTCCCCACAATTGACCCCAGTGTGTGATGCTCCTCTCTGTTTCCACATGTTCTTATTGTTAAACACCCACCTATGAGAAGATGAGGCGTTTGATTTTCTGTTCTTGTGTCAGTTTGCTGAGAATGATTTTTATAGAGATAGGGTTAGGTCTCATTATGTTGCTCAGGGTGGTCTCAAACCTCTGAGTTCAGAGTCCTTCCACCTCAGCCTCCCAAAATGGTGCAATTAAAGGTATAAGCAGTTTTTAAAGGGAACTTACTCCACAGCAAAAGAAACTGCCCTAGTTACACATTTATGTGTTACTCTTTTGTATTCAGTTTGGAGATCTTTAGTATACACAAATATACTGTGGGATGGTTATTATGGCAAAAATTAAAAGTTTGGTAGAAGTTAACCAGGAGTCAAAACAAACAGATAACAGCAAAGAAGAATGTTTGTGGAAGTAAAATTCAAATGATTAAAGTCAGTATCTTAAATCATGTTTAGCACATTCATACAGTTATGTTTCCATCACCTCTCTTTAGTTGTAAAATATCTTTGATAAATATTCTACAGTTCTTTATACTCTATAGGAACATGTGTTTGGTAGTTCAAACAGTAAATAATTCAAACAACTAAAATGTTAAATATATATATATATACACACACACACACACACACACACGTGTATATATATATATATGGTGAATGTCACTGGCAGAGCCGTAAGCCAGACAAGAGCATGGCATCTGAATAACTTAGTTATATTAGAAAACCAAAAAACACATTGATCAGGCTTTTGATTCCACCTAAGATAATTTACTGACTGGTTTTTCTGGCAGTGTCAATTATTATTTTTTAATATTTCAGAAATTCTAAGATTTTTGTAAAGAAAAGCATTATGGCCAGTATCTTAATACATGATATTTCAGAGCAGTGGTTTTTGAAACTGTGCCAGGTCACCATCATCATTACTGGAATCTTGTTAGATTTATAAAATCTTAGGCTCACCAGAGACCTAACTACATAAAAAATTGTACATAGACAATAGTGCTCTGATTGATTTTATTGTGGAAAAAACTCCACCTTTTTTTTCCCTGTTTTAACCATTTGAAGTGTATACAATTTAATGAATACAATGTAAAAAATATTTACATTGTTGTGAATGTTTCTTAACTGCAAATTTGAAACAGTGTTCATTAAACAACTTTCTCCACTGTGCTATTGGCCCTGATAACCATCATTTTAGTTTGTTTCTATGAATTTGACTACTTCATTAGAATCACACAGTATTTGTCACTTTGTGACTGGCTTATTTCACTTAGTATCCTTGCCTCCTTAATTTTAGAGGAAAAGTTTTCAGCCTCTCACCTCCAAGTAAGATGTTAGATGTGGGCTTTTAAAAATTTCTGGTCAGTCACTGTGGCTCATGCCTGTAATCCCAGCATTTTGGGATGCCAAGGCAGGTGGATCACCTGAGGTCAGAAGTTTGAGACCAGTCTGGTCAATATGTGAGACGCTATCTCTACTAAAAATACAAAAATAATGGCATGGTGGCTGGTGCCTGTATTCCAGCTACTTGGGAGGCTAAGGCAGAAGAATCACTTGAACCCAAGAGGCAGAGGCTGCAGTAAGCTAGGACCATGCCACTTTCTTCCACCCTGAGTGAAAGAGCAAGACTCCCTCTCAAAATAAGTAAATAAATAAATAAAAAATAAATAAATAAAATTGCCCTTAGTATGTTGAGGCATCTTCCTTCTTCAAGTTGTGATTTTATAATGGAAAGGTATGGAACATTGTCACATGCTTTTTAAATGTAAATTGAATGGTCGTGTAGCTTTTGTCTTTGGTTATGGTGTATAATCCCCCTTTTTTTCCTTCTTGAGATGGAATTTTTTCTTTGTTGTGCAGACTGGAGTGTAATGGCTTGATCTTGGCTCAGTCCAACCTCCTGCTCATAGATTGAAGCGATCCTCCTGCCTCAGCCTTCGGAGTTGCTGGGATTACAGACAACTGCCGCCACTCACAGCTAACTTTTGTATTTTCAGTAGCAATAAGGTGTAACCATGTTGGCCAGGCTGGTCTGGAACTCTTAACAGCAGGTGATCCACCCATTCTCGGCTGCCCAAAGTGTTAGGATTACGGGCATAAGCCACCACACCTGACCTATAGAATTCTTCAAAGTGCTGTTAAATTCAACCTGCTGGTATTTTACTGAGAATTTTTGCTTAGATTTTCATTAGGAATATTGGTCTGTGATTTTCTGTCTTTACGTTGTTTTTTTCAATTAATTTTTTGGGGGCATAGTATCTTTCTCTGTTGCCCACGGTGTAGGGCAGTGGTGTAGTTGAAGCTGATTGTAACTTTGAACCCCTGTCTTCAAACAGTCCTGTCTTAGCCTTCCAAATAGCTGGGATTGCCAGTGGACTGGCACTATGCCTAACAAACGTTTCAAATTCTTTTGTAGACGCATGGTTTCCTAAGTTGCCTAGACCTGTCACAAACTTCTGGACAAGCAATTCCTGTCTTAACCTCCCAAAATGCTGGGATTGTAGGTATAAGTCACCATACCTAGCCTTGTGTATGTCTTCTATCTGGTTTTGATAGCAGTGTATTGCTGGCATCTTCATATGAATTTCAGAGTGCTTCCTCCTTTAGGATTAGTGTTATTTCCTTCTAATTTAAAAAAATTTTTCATTTTTACCTTAAATTCAGCCATATGTGTACAGCTTTACTATAAGAATATTTGTGTAGTGTTGCGGTTTGGGCTTCTATCAGCCACATAATGAAGATAATACCCAGTAGGACGTTTCTCAGCCCTTGCCCCACTCCTTTAGTCCCTTCTTTTGGAGATCTCGGTTATGTGCTCTTTCCACCTTTATGCTCATATTAACCCAAGATTTTACTCCCACTTGTGAGAACATGTGACATCTGGTTTTCTGTTTCTGTGTTAGTTTCCTAAGATAATGGCCTCCAACTGCAACCACATTGCTACAAAGGATGTGATTTTATTCTTTTTATTTTTCTTCTTTTTTTAATTGCATTTTAGGTTTTGGGGTACATGTGAAGAACATGCAAGATTGTTGCATAGGTGCACACATGGCAATGTGGTTTGCTGCCTTCCTCCCCATCACCTATATCTGGCATTTCTCCCCATGCTATCTCTCCCCAACTCTCCACCACCTGCTGTCCAATTTTATTCTTTATTGTGACTGCATAAAATTCTTTTTAAATGTTTGATTGAATTCTCCAGTGAAGCCATCTCATTGTGGGCTGTTCTTTGGTCAGAGAATGTTTATTTCTGATTCAGTCTTACTAGTTACTGATTTGTTCAGATTTTCATATTTTCCCCTTCCTATTTTACTCATAGTGGGTTGTGTGTTTCTAAAAAGGTATTTGTTTCTTCTGTTTTTGTTTTCGTTTGTTTGTTTGTTTTTGTTTTTTTGAGACAGAATCTCACTCTGTCACCCAGGCTGAAGTACAGTAGCACTATTTCTGCTCACTGCAATCTCTGCCTCCCAGACTCAAGTGATTCTTTTGTCTCAGCCTCCCAAGTAACAAGGATTACAGGCATGCATCACCACATCTGGGTAATTTTTTGTATTTTTAGTAGAGATGAGATTGCACCATGTTTGCCAGACTGGTTTCGAACTGACCCCAGGTGATCCACCCACTTTGGCCTCCCAAAGTGCTAGGATTACACGTGTAAGCCATCACGCCCAGCCCATTCCTTCTGATTTATTCAATTCCTTGGTGTACTTTTTATTCATTGTATTCTCTTTATTCCTTTTCATTTCTGTGGCATCATTTTTAATTACTCTTCTTTCATTTGTCACTTCAATTATTTAAGTCTTTTTCTGTTTTAGTTAATGTAGGCAAAGTATGCCAGTGTTACTCATCTTTTCAAAGAGTATATTCAGTTTTGTTGATTTTTCTATTTTTAAACTTATGTTTAAATAACATATGATAGTTGTACATATTCTAGAGTACATGTGGTATAGTTTCTACATATTTTGGAGTACCTGTGAAATTGTTAGGTAGTTTTAGGTTTTTCTTCTTTTTTTTTTTGATGTATGTATTTACAGCTGTAAATTTAACTCTCTGCAG